CAGCCCTGCACCTTGTTGTCTCAACATCTGATCAAAGCTCCTTTGACAGCATCTTCCACATGTGTGAGCTCTACCACCTAGAAGGACAAAAGTAGTAGATACATGGGAACAACACCAACTGCACTTCTCCTCCAAGTCACACACCAACCTGATTTGGACCTGTATCACCATTCCTTCACTAAAACCCTGTAATAGCCTCCTAAACATCACTGTGAAAATACACACACCTGAAGGATTGCAGTTGTTGAAGAACATAGCTCACTATCACTTTCCCAAGCACAATTAGTGATGACTGTTAAAACTGGCTTGACCAATAATGCAACATCCCACAAATGAATAAATAAAACCTCTTATATCAGGGCTATTGCAGCCTGATGCTCCTTATGTGTTCTATTACCTGAACAACTTCAAGATTTAATTGGAATAAAATATATATCTTTTTCTGAAAAATGCTTACAATTTTGCATGGCCTGATACATTGGTGTGAGTTTATATTATGCTCTAGCTCTAGGTTTTCCCACTCTGCTTCAGACAAGAGTTTCTAATTAAGTTAAATGTTCACAATATCACTAATAACTGAATAATCTTGCAATTAATATAATCTTATAGTGTAATACAGATATCAATAAAAATTATGAAGCAAAGAGAGGATGCAATAATATATTTATTGAAACTCGGAGGTGAGTACAAATAATTCTTCCAAACAACAATTTTTACATCAGTTATAAATTAGATTCAATAAATATAAATAATGTAAAACATCTGTGCAATTTACTTCTTCTCTGTGCAACATTAATAAGCTTTTGCAAAATACATGACATAATAATAATTTAGGGCCACTGTTACATGACAATTTCATTATTCCTTATCATCTCTGGCAGTGAGAGCGGTAAGCCTGTCAATGTTGTAAATAGCAAATAAATCGGAAATACAAAAAAAGACATAAATTAACCAATTTCCTCCAGAATTAGAAAAGATTCTGATTGAGATGATCGCTCGGTCACCCTGTGGTGTTGCTCGGAATTTGTGCTGTTATGGTTTGGATCTGCTGTAAGTAGTACATGGTGCGAGAGCGGACTATTTCCCAGGCACAGTCACTGAACCTCTGAAAGGCAAAAATATTGAAATGTGTTAGCAAGGCTACACCGAATTTTAATGGGATACAAAAAAGTTGCACCCTATTTGAAAGCCATGCTCCAGTTTACGCGCGGGAATATAAGCGTTCATTTGATCTCAGTTATTTTGGGACATCACTAATCTGTTGATGCTTATTTTAACGTGATAGTTAAATGATTAGAATTTCCTAAGACATTTCGTTAGACATTCTGAGCAGAGGAAATCTTCGCCAACATCATAGATAGTAAGAACTGCCGATGCTGGAGTCAGAGATAACACAGTGTGGAGCTGGAGGAACACAGCAGGCCAGGCAGCATCAGAGGAGCAGGAAAGTTGACGTTTCGGGTCGCGATCCTTCTCTCTGCTCCTATGATGCTGCTTGGCCTGCTGTGTTCATCCAGCCCTGCACCTTGTTGTCTAGGAAAGTTGACATTTGGGTCGGGACCCTTCTTCAGAAAATGAAGTTTCTGAAATTTTCTGAAGAAGGATCCCGACCCGAAACGTCAGCTTTCCTGCTCCTCTGATGCTGCCTGGCCTGCTGTGTTCCTCCAGCTCCACGCTGTGGCATATCTAGTCATTCCTAGTCCAGATGGTCACAGTTTAAGGACTTTGATACATGGTTTGTTTACATGAACTTCACAACAGATGAAATATTGGAACATGAATCGTCCATACCTCCCGTTCTAGCAGCTCCCTCAACTTCCCGAAGTACTGCTGAATCTCCTCGCTTCTAGAGGCTGCCACAGGTTCCCTCACACATCCCTTCACATTTGTCAGCTGCTCACTCAGTTGAATGAGAAAGGTTTCCAGCCGGTCAGGGTCCCAGGGAGCAGTGTTGAGGTTCTCAATGAAAGTCTTGTTGATTTGTTCCAGTGCTTGATGGATAAGCAGGAGTTTGTCTTCCACCTATTGGACACAAAAATTTTACTTCACTAAATTTATCATTACTCAAGTTTTAAAAGAACTGTGTGGGACGTAAGAGAAATGAGCAAGAACGTGCCATTCAGCCCTTTGAGTCTACTCCGCTATTAACGAGACATAGACCATCTTGAATTCCTTTTTTTTTTACGATTCAGAATCTCAGATCTACTCAAGGACTGGGTAACCATAACTCTCTGCGGTAGCGAATTCCATAGATCCATCACCTTCTGAGTAAAGAGTTTCCTCCACATCTCAGTCCTACCAAGCCTGCCTCTTAGTCCAGGACTGAATATATGGCTTTCTGATCCGGTATTATTTTAACGTTGAAAAGCCGGAGCATTAATGATAGGTGCAACTCAATATCCGCACTGGAGACATACCTGAAAGTTTTTCGTTAGATCAATGAGGGAGGGGCCACGGGGTATTCTTGTCACTTTCAGACAGCGCAAGGTGAGTTTTCCGCCCTGCAACGCAAACAAAAAATCAGATTATAAAAATGCCACAAAGCACAAGTCCTGGCGAGGGGATAGATCAAGATCAGTTCAAGCGCACCATTAAAGTCAGTTTGTTTCGCGTCTCAATATTGCGGAATGCCAGCTGTTCGCAGCCCAGTGTCAGAATCCCGGACACGGAGACTAGCGCCACCCAAAATCTCCAGATACAAGAAAGAGCCATGTTCAACAAGACAGTGCGGATCTGAAATAGAGAGACATCGTTATTAGACAGCAAGCTTCAGCAAAGCGACTTAAGTGCTCCTGAGGTCGTGAAAACAGCACCGTTCTTACTTCTTCGTGATGGAATCGCTGTAAGAGACAAGACTATTGTCACAGTCAAGAGTGAACTGTCTGATGGGAAAGCCATGGCGAATATAAAAGGATTCACGGATTGCATTAGAAAAGTGAAACACTAGATTTACAGGACCACAAGAAATTTTCTGGCCACATTCGCTTTTCAAAATGCGAGGAATTAACCTTGAAAAGACAATCGAAAGAAAAAGACAATCGGAAAGGAAGAGAATAAGCCTGCAAAAAAAAAGTCTCGAATTTTGCTTGCAAATTGCATTAGATAAACCGCACTGCACATCAGAACGGAGGAAATGTTAATCTCTTGTTGAATCTGAATCTAAAACAAAACTGCACTGGCTCCGCCGGATAATTTCTTCATGTCTTAAAAAGTTCACCGCTGCTCAGAAGAGCAATCGAGACACCAATTATTTTCCCCTTTTGTCCAGTATCCCCTAATGGATCCGAGCCCCAGAATTCCGGTCGGGCAAGATATACCCCCGTTGCAGTCTAGATTTAGGTGTGTTCTTTCATGTAGTTGAGCGATTTTACGTTTTAAACCCAATCTTTACCCACTTTGGTCCATATTTCCCAGTGCTCAAGTGTTCACGAAGTCTGAAGAATTCACAGGTATTCTGAGATTTACTTTAACGAACGCGTTTAGAGATGCCATGACACATATCTGGAGCAAGTTGGGTCTTGAAAGCGGATCTCCTGTTTCAGAGGTTAGAGACACGCCAACTGTCCCAGTCTCTTCCCGCTAAAGCTGTTGCAAGTTATGAACCTTTTTTGTTCAGCTTTTAAAGCTGGATTGCTACGCCGATCACAAGTTGAGGCAGAGACCATTGTACCAAGAGAACTGACTGGATACATGAACTTGAAGGTACAGGTCATAGCTGCAGAGAAAGGCAACAGGATCCTTTTGGTGTTGTTTCAGCAAAGTTACAGCAGAGATGAAGGGACAATGGGGGAAAACTGGGATAGCATGGTGGCTCAGTGGTTAGCACTGCTGCCTCATAGTGCCAGGGACCCAGATTTGATTCCACTCTTGGGTGACTGTCTAGGTGGAGTTTGCACATCCTCCCTTTGTCTGCATGGTTTTCCTCTGGGTGTTTTGGTTTCTTCCAACAGTCCTAACATAGCAGGTTAGGTGGATTGGCCATGCAAAAGTGCCCTGTAGAGTCCAGGGATGTGCAATCTAGGTAGATTAGCCTTGGGAAATGCAGGGTTACAGGGATAGGATACAGGAGTGGATCTAGGTGGAATGCTCTTCAGAGGGGTGGTGTGGACTCAATGGGCCAAATAGCCTGCTTTTCCACACTGTAGGAATCCTATGGCTTCTTTAACAATGTACATTAATGAGGTATAATCAGCATGCTCATAGATTACACTAACATAGCAACGGAGCACACATTAAATGATAGGACTCCAGGAATCACAGAGTAATTTTGATTTGTGCATCCATAAACCCTTGAAGGCAACAGAATAGGTAGATAAAGTGATTAAGAAGGCATAAGGGACACTTGCTGTTATTAGTCAAGGGATTGAATACAAGACCAAGGAGGTTATTAACAGCTGTATACAACATTAGTTAGGCCACAGTTGAAGTAGTGTCTGCAGTTCTGCTCACCACACTACAGGAAGAATATGATTTCATTTGAGACGGTGCATGACATTCACCAGGACCTAGCTGAATCTCTTCAGCCAAGGTATTGAAGAGACACTAGATAGATTGGCGTTGTCTTCTTTGGAGGAGAGAAGCCTATGAGGGAATTTGATTTAGGTGTACTAAGTTCTGAGCAGCATAGACAGGGTAGATAGAGAAGTTTTTTTTCTCTTTAGTGGAGGAGTCAATAATCAAGGGCACAGAGGTTTGAAGGCAAAGAGCATAAGTTTTAGAGGGTATTTGAGGGGAAAAAAATCACCTATAGGTTGTGGATGTTTGGGACTCTGCCCAAAAGTGCGATAGAGGGTGGCACAGTGGCTCAGCGGTTAGCACTGCTACCTCACAGTGCCAGAGACCTGGATTCAATTCCACCCTCGGGTAAATGTCTGTGTGGAGTTTGCACATTCTCCCCATGTCTGCGTGGGTTTCCTCCGGGTGCTCCGGTTTCCTCCCACAGCCCAAAAATGTGCAGGGTAGGTAGATTGGCCATGCTAAATTGCCCATAGTGTCCAGGGATGTTTAGGGTAGATATGGGATAGGCGAATGTGTTGCGGTGGGATGCTCTTCAGAGGGGTGGTGTGGACTTGTTGGGCCGAATGGCCTGTTTCCACACTGCAGGGATTCTATGACTCTAAGGTCAGATCTCTCAAGGACAGTTTAGAACTGTTTAGATGAGCATTTGAAATGCCATAGCATAGAAAGCTACTGGCTAGTGCTGAACAATGGGATTGAGTAGATGGATGTCTGACGACCACTGCAGACACAGTGCTTTTGCTGTGCTTTAACAATTCTATGACCCAATGACTCTAAATGGCCCCTTCCTCTGTTGTGAGCGCTGACAGTTCTCTGACTTTTTTTGTTGTGACTTTTCCTTATCACTCTCTAGTGTAAGAATAATATCTGTTACTTTGCCGAACATGTTACATGAGGAAGGGTCACCTGATCCAAAATGTCAAATCTGTTTTCTCTTCACAAATGCTGCTAGATCTGCTGAGCTTTTCCAGCAACATCTGTTTTTGTTTCTGATTTACAGCATCCACAGTTCTTTCGGTTTTTATTTAGCTTCAAATATTAGGTATCTTCTCCCAAAGCAAATTAATGTCCTCTTCAATGCAACAGTCACAGAAGCAACACTAGAATTTATCAGACATACACTATCAGGCACACTGTTTTCACTCAATTTCCACAGATAAAATGCTCTTCCAAAGATCCACAGAATACCCATCTCCTCACCTAGCTCAGCCAACTCTAATTTTCTGAAGAAGGGTCTAGACCCGAAACATCAGCTTTCCTGCTCCTCTGATGCTGCTTGTCCTGCTGTGTTCATCCAGCTCTACACCTTGTTATATCAGATTTTCCAGCATCGGCAGTTCCTACTATCTCTGTAACAATAATTTAATTTGCTGTTTTATTAACCCATTCATTCGTTCTACAAGGCACACTGCTTTAGGGTAATAGGGAATGTGAAACATCAAATGTATCCCCTTATCTGCAGCCCATTGTTGCACCTGTTGGCCTGCAAAGTGTGAGCCATTATCTGATTGTATTTCTGATGGTTCACCATAGTAGGATATCAACTGTTCTAGTTCCTTAGCTGTGTTACTCTGATTCGCTTTGGTTGTCAGAAAAGCTAGCATTAGCCCAGAGTAGGTGTCCCCCATGGTTAACAGATATTGGTATCGTTGTTGTAATGGTAATGGGCCAACATAGTCAATCTGCCAGGTTTGAGCAGTCCGATCTCCTCACTTGATTTGTGCCATTGGCTTTTTCGGCAGTGATACATGTTTTGCCTTTTGAAATATCTCACACTTGCCAATGACTTCTTTCACCAGATTGGTGGGTAAATGCAAACCTTGACCTCTTCCCTTTGCACAGTGCCGTGATATCCTAAGTGTCCTGATTTCTCAGGAGCCCATTTTTCAGTGTGGTTCTGTTCAGGTGCAAGTTCTACCATTCTGGCTTTTACTATTCCTTCCATGGTATTGTTATGATCAGCAGATTCCGAACCATCCTTCACATGGGCATCAACATGGTACACAGTGATTTTTATGTGCTGTGCCTTTGCCCATATTTGTTTCCCACAGGGGCTTTCTAGCAATCTTCCAGTCATGTAACTGCCAGGTTGGCATCCATAAAACCATTCTTTTGACAACTGCCCATGAGTTCATACAAATGTGCAGACACTGACTCTCTTCTTCCAGCACTAGGACCACAGCTGCTAACTCAGCATATTTGCTCAATTCCCCCATCTCCTTCACTATGGATAATTGTCGGTGTGGAGGGATTAAACGCAACTGCTTGCCACTGTCTTTGACCATTCTTCCAGGTGGCTGATCCATCAGTGAAACAAGCGCAGTGATGAATACCTTCAGGTGGTTGTTCAAATGGAACGTCCCATTGAATAGGAGATGCAGGTATGGTCCAGTTGGGACCTGGAACTTGTCCATCTGGTGGATATTCAGTCATTCCTTCATAGAGTTCGGCAACCCTTTCCTTTCCCTTCTTGGCTTGATCAGCTATGTCCAATTTCCATTTTACAATGGAGTTTTGTTGGGCTCTCATGGCCTTGTGTGTTGTAACGTCAGCTAACAATCACATCAGAATTGGTCATTCACGTCTGAGGAGAACTTTGTCATCGGCCGTCTACCCCTCAGTTTCTACTACAGCCCAGTAGCAAGTCAGAAGTTGCTTTTCAAATAGTGTGTAATGTGTAGCTGCCTCGGCCATTTTTCTGGACCAGAAGCCCAAGAGTATTGCTTTCCCCTTTTGTCTCTGCCATAAGCTCGACATGGCTACATCTTGTACTAGAGATACTTGTAATTCAAAGGACGAGCGAGGTATCCAAGGGGCCAGGGGAAGTGCTAGTGCTATAGCCCCTTTAGCGGCTATAAATGCTTTCTGCTGTTCATCGCCCCGTTTAAACTGAGCTTTCGTTTGATCTTAGTCATGTGGTCAATTGACATACATGGCTGTGCCTATATCCAAGCAGACCTATAAATTTCGGTGCCTCTGTCTTGCTAGTTGGAGCAGCCATATCTTGTATTTTATACTTTGTTTCGGGGATGTATCTATCCCTTTTTATCCATTGAATTCCTAAAAACTGCACTGATTGTGCTGGTCCCTGTATCGTTTTCAGGTTCAATTTCAAGCCTTTGTCTTGCATATGTTGTACCAGCGTGGCTAGAGCTTCCACCACAGTGGTTTCCATTAGTCCACAGATCAAGATGACATCAATATAATGCGCTACGTGAATGTCCATTGGCAGTGGACACATATCTAAGTCCCTTGATACTAGTCCATGGCATAAAGTTGGGCTGTGTAGGTATCCTTGTGGTAGCCAACAGAAGGTATATTGGTGACCTTCCCATGCAAAAGCAAACTCAGCTTGTGATTCTGGGGCTAGCGGTATTGAGGAAAAGGCATTTCCTAGATCAATAACAGCACAGCAGGAATCTGGCCCCCGTGACAAACTTTTAAAATAGTGACCATGTCAGGCACAGCCACCGACAATGAAGGAACATATTTGTTGAGTTGGCAGCAATCAACTGTCATTCGCCAACTTCCATCAGGCTTCTTTACAGGCCACATAGGGCTATTGTATGCAGATACTGCATGTGTTAGAATCCCTGCAGCTATCAGGACCCTGTATAGTATCCACAATTTCATTGTGTCCTCCCGGGATATGATACTGTTTCAACAAAACCACCCGTGAAGGTGGAGGAATAATGAGGGGCTCCCATTTTGCCTTGCCAACAGTTACCACCTGTCTTGGAACACAGAGTGTACCCAAACAGTTCTTTTCAGATTCAGTTAAATATAGTTAAGAGGAGGCTCGACAACAGCAATTTGCTTAAATGTGAGCATTTATTGAATAATAATAAAAGACAAAAAAAGAAAAGAACATTTATTAAGTTAAAAAAAATGAAAAAGTATGGGAAAAAAAAACAATATGCCTCATGTCCTTCTGCCCATCAGGGAGCACTCCATCGATGGCTGGTCTGGAGGCTGAGGTTCTTCCTGGCACCGTTCACGATCCCAGTCCAAAGTGAAGTCCAGAAATTTGGAATGAAATAACAAACAGCTGGCACAAATAAAGCAGATACAGAAGACAAAACACAGCTACAGAAAAACAAGTTGCAGGCGCCATCTTCAGCCTATAAAGGAATGTTCACAGGATTCATTCAAGGTCATGCATTTTGTCAAGTATCATCCTAAACTTTCCCAGCCTATTTTCCCATCCTGTACAATCTATTTTCCCATGCAGCTGTCGAATATCATCATTATGTTTTAGTCCTTCCGCCCATCCCATACAGTGACTCAAAAGATAGCTGAACACTACCTTCTCAAGGGCAGTTATGGGTGGGAAACAAACACTGGATTTACCAGCAATGCTCACATCCCAAGAATAAATAGAAATAAATAGTGCTGGTGTTACCTCCACTCAAGTGGAACAAGTGAAATTCCTGGCAAATTTGTAAGCATAGACACACATTGATCTATGCCGCTTATTCAATTACAGTGAGGAATGATAGAGTAATTTACAGCACAAAAGAAGGCCAGTCAGCCCATTGAATCTATTCTGGCTTGCTGCAGAGCAATCTAGTCAATCTCAGCCCCCTGCCAGTACTCATGGTTCTGGAGGTTTATGTTGTTCAAGTGCTGTTTCTTTTGAAATGATTCAGTGTTTCCACTTCCACCACTCTTGTTGGCAGCAAATTCTGAGTTATTACTACCGGCTATCTAAAAAACATTCTTCCTCACATTCTCCCTGCATCTTTAAATCTGTGACCCGTTGTCCCTTGTACAATCAGATAATGGGAATAGCTTTCCTTGTCTACCTTATCTAAACTTGTTATATTCTTTTCAATCTAATCTTGTTATTAAAATATCCCATCCATGGAACAATTACGGTGAATCTTCACTGAATCCTGCCAATCCTTCCTGAAGTGAGACGACCAGAACTAGATGCAATGCTCTGGCTGAGTCATAACCAGCTTCATAATGGCTCAAGATATTGACCTTCAGGTTAAACCACCACCAGTTGTCCCTCTGTCTAATGGTAGAGCAACCATATAGTCCAGTAGGAGTATGACAACTTTACATAATGGCACAGCAAAACTGCCTTGCTTTTTTGCATCCAACGCCTCTATTTATGAAACTCATGATCCCATTTGATTTACAAATCATTCCACAATATGTCCTGTCATCCTGAAAGATTGATATGCACATATTTCCTCCTATTCCTGCATACTCTTCTAAATTGTACGACTGAATTTATATTTCTTCTCCCTGTCCCGTCTGCCAAATGCATCACACTTCCTTTTATTAAATTTTACCTTTTCTGTCCATTCTGCTAGCCTATCTATGTCATGTTGCAGGCAATTTTTATCATCCTCACTGTTTACTATTCTTCCAAGTTTGATATCAATGGAAAAATTTACTCTGCATTCGGATCATTTGTATTGAGTAAATATCTAAATGTCTAAAATCAAAACTCATGGTTTTCTGTCCTCAGGACAATTTTTAAAAATTCATTCGCAGGATGTGTGCATTGCTGTCCAGAGGTAAGTTAAGAGTCAACCATATTGCTATTGGTCTGGAGACTTATGTAGATCAGACCAGGTAAGGATGATAGATTTCCTTGCTTAAAGGGCATTAGTGAACCAAATGGGTTTCCCCCCAGTAATCATCAATGCTTTAATGGTCATCATTAGACTCTTAATTATAGATTTTTAGGTTTTTTTGTTGAATTCAATTCCATCACCTGTTGTGGTGAGATTCAAACCTGGTATGTCTGGATTTGCAATAACATCACTAGGGCATTAGCTCACTCATTGGACAATAATCCTGCTATTCCATGAGACTCAATGTTGTTATCTAGCCTTCTATGTGGCAGCTTATCAAACAGTTTCTTAAGATCTAAATACACAACATCTACTGCATGCCCTTCATCAACCTGTTACTTTATGAATAAATTCAATAAGATTAGTCAAACATGATCTGCCTTTCAAAAATCCTTGCTGATGCTTTTTAATTAGCTCAAATCTATCCATGTCTGTTGACCTTTCTCGATTTATTGTTCTAAAATCTTAAACACTACCAATCTTAAATTTACTGGCCTGCAGTTCCAAGAATTGTTCTTACTCCCTTTCTTGAATACCTCTTTCTTCCTCCCAAGTATTGAATAATCAAATCCCAACAGTGTGGAAGCAGACCATTCAGCGCATTGAGTCCACACCAACACACCTAAGAGTATCCCAATCAGCTCACCCCCTCTACCCTATCTCCATAACCTCGCATTAACCATGACTAACCCACCTAGACTGCACATCCCTGGACAGCACAGGGCATTTCAACTTGGCCAATCCACCTAACGTGCATGTCTTTGGACTGTGGGAGGAGACCAGAGCACCCGGGGGAAACCCAACCAGACACGGGGAGAATGTGCAAACATCATACAGGCAATTGCCTGAGGATGGAATTAAACTCCGATCCCTGGCAGTGAGAGGCAGCACTGCTAGGTAATGAGACACCAATCCACCTTATATGGTATCTCCCACAAGTATGTGGAAGCTTGAATCAGAAAGAAATATGTGTTCTTGTTTTGTGCTCATAAACCATATTATTCTCCATTTCACAACTTGTTCCAAATGATTTTACTGATAACATTTTTGAAAAGTGTGTAGAGATTGCTGCCTGGTTCACTGTTTACCAGCTCCCTGGTTCTGACACTGGGCTTATGCGTGTAGTGGTGGAAAAACACTGGAGGCAGACGTTTGAGAGGCCAAGGAAACTCTGATTTTATTAAACAAACAAGCAAAATTAATCTATTTACAAAACAAGAAAGTGAATATCAAATTTAAACCCCCTCCCTTGTCTCTGACTGAGACTGTCTCCCAGTTACCTTAACCCCCGGTTAATTAATACAGCGGGTAAAATAAATAGTGGGTGACT